AGGGCAACACCTCTATTATGGCTCGAAGAAGAAGAAGTCTGCCACTTGCAAGTTGAGTTTGAGAACAAGAGAAAGGCCTTAGCCAAAACCCATGATACCATCAGGGAGACCACTGTGGCCAATTATCATAGTGGAAAAAAATCTGCTGACCAGCCTGAAGTAAGGGAATGTCTGCAGAACCCTTTGCTTGCTGTTGCATAAAGGTAAATACTGTATGATAGTTGTATGGAGGATTTTTCAGAGGTAGGGGTGCTGTACAATTTTTGCCTGAATGAAGTTAAGAGTTTTTTCCCATAGTGCCTGAATCACCATACTTTGCTTCTAATTTTGCCCAAATGACCTTTAGTATTGTACTACAAGCTAGAGGGTCTCCACAAAGTTTTTTTTTAATATTAATATTAAAAAATGTAAACAATTAGGCTAAACTGATTTTTATTTCTATAGTTCTAACTGTTCTATTATAGGTGTATTCCACCTACATGGCCTGAAATAGTATGTAGATTATTACAAATTATTAAATATAGAAAACAAGTGTAATTATTGTAAATATAATAATGCATACAGGCACCAGTTTAAGCTGAACCAATCAATGGTATCAACTTGCCTCTTTGGCAACACTGCTCCGGGAGCTCCCAGAATATAATAGACAAGCTGGCAGGCAGCAAATCATCCCCAAGTCACCAAACTCATCCACATATGTACATAGACCATCCACTTCTACAAACAGTGCACAATATTCATATATAAGCACTTACATGAACATACATACATATACACAATATACACACACTAGCACCCACATGTACACATATGCATATAAATCCATAGACAAGCAAGGAAGTCACGCGATGCTAGGAGCATGCACGCTGGAGTTTCTAGAAGGATCATGACTTATCGAGGAACCTCACGAATGTCCCAGTGTTCGATAAATGCCCTTTTTTTTAGTATATAAGCCAGCGATAAATAGATATGCAGATAGATTGAAGATAGAGATAACTGAGTCAAGCGAACAGTAGGTACCGGAAGTAAAGTGTGTGAATCACTGTGATTTATAGCATGTGTTATAAAGGTTGTTAAATTTAAAGTGACTGTGGAAATTAAGTGTATTAAAAAGTTTGTAATGAGAAAGAATAAACTAGTTTTAATCAAGAAGGGACTTATATCACTGAAGTCACTCGGAAAGAATTTTTACCGGAAATTATCAAACAAGCAGATACGTAACAATACTTTACCCAGTCACAGCCATAATTATCCAATAATGAAGATAATACTGAAGGTTCAGTTGTTACTCAGTCTCAGATGGACTCTGATTCAAAAGAAGCTGCTCAAACAGAATTGGAGTCAGTTGAAGTATAACAAAACTTCTAGGACTTGAACTGGACATTGGTCTATGGCCTTTTCATCTGACTTCTGAAGTGATCAATTACTGGGTAAGGTGAGGTCCATATGTGTTACAAAACAATGGTAATGACTTCACCAAATCAAGCAAAAGTAATCCTTCTTGCACTATACAAATGTTTGATCGAAGCTAGTTATGTTATTCATCCAGTACTGGTAAGGTTTATCGTTTTCATTGTAAACTATTAAATCTAGGACAAGGTCCATTAGTGACTCAAGGGTTCTCTAGATGGTCATGAAGAATCAAAAGTTCATTGTGATGCAATCATAAAATTTTCCAAGACTTATGATAGACAATAGTAGAATTAATAAGCATCTGGTAAAACAAGCAGTAAGTGTAATCAGGTTCCTTAGAGAATGTGGGCTTCCTTTCTATGGTGCTGATGAAAAAGTAGGTTCAACCAAGAATGGAAATGTCTTGTGTATGATAGAAGTTATAGCAGAGTATGACACTTTGCTGGAAGAACATATACAGAAACATGCAAACAAAAGAAGTGGATATACAAATTACACTTTTGAAGAGCTCATTAAAATAATTGGTAATTTAATTCTGAGCACCATTGTTTCCAAGATAAAATCATCAAAATATTTTTCTGTATCCATTGATTCTACTGTAGATAATAGCAATACTGATCAGCTCACTTGTTGTGTTAGATATTTGGAAGCTGACAGTCCTGTTGAAAGATTTCTAACCTTTATGGATAATTGTGGTCACACTGGTCAGCAGTTAGCATCATTGTATTTTTCTTTCTTTGAAATGGTCGGTAATGATATAGAAAACTGTCATGGCTAGTCCTATGATAATGCAACCAACATGAGTGGATGTTACTATGGGATGAAAAGTCTTGTTAGACAAATATGTCCACTGGCAGTATCCATTCCATGTTCGACACATTCATTAAATCTTGTTGGCCAGGCTGCTGTTTATTGTTGTGCTCAGGTAGTGGTTTTTTATTTCATGCAAAAGCTTTACACTTTTTTTTCAAGATCAGCAGGTTGTTGGTAACTTTTAAGAGAGAAGCTCAAACTCAGAGGCTTAATGATGCCAAAGGAGTTGTCACAGACAAGATGGTTCACTCATACAAATGCCACTAATGCATTGCAATCTGGCTATGCTGAAATTATGGATGTACTTGAAGATATATCTACTAATGAGGATGAGAAAGGAGAAAATAGAAACACAGCATCAGGTTTGGTGAATCTAATGTGTAAATTGGAAACAAGGATTTTCTGTGATCTGTGGCACAACATTCTTGAAAGATTTGATATGATTAGCAAGCAACTACAATACCCCAAGGTAGATCTCAATACAGCTATCGTACTGCTGAAATCATTAGTGGAATTTGTGCAAGTGTTGTGAGGTGGTTTTGTTGACTTTGAACAATCAGGAATTGAAAAAAGTGGCATATTAGAATACAGTGTACAGCACGAGCATCTTCATCATAATACTGTCTGATTAGATCTGGTAGATTATGGCAAAGATAAAGAAGTACAACAGAGTCCAATAAATTACTTCAGAACTTCCAGTTTCATCGATCGACTTGTGCAAGAAGTTGGAAAGAGAATTGAAATTTATTCTCATGTGACTGAAAACTTTGGTTTCTTGGATATTCTAGTTTCTCTAACTGATGATCAAATTCAGGAAATGTCAGATAGATTACTGAAACTTTATTCTGCTGATCTGGAAGGGTGTCTCAGTAATGAACTTGTTCAATTTAGAAAGGTTGTGGAATTATTTTTAGATGAAAGGAATGATCATGGTGATATCAGTAATGCTCATTTCATGTATCTCCTTATTCAAATCTCATATCATCCTTTCTGAATGTTGAAATTCTTCTTGTGATTTATCTATCACTCATGATATCCAACTGTTCAGGTGAAAGGTCTTTTTCAAAGCCCAAGTATATCAGAAATGTTTTGCGCACAACAATGACTCAAAAACGACTGAATTGTCTTTATTTAATGTGTATTGAAAGTGATCTACTTCATTTATTGATTGATAAAGGAAATGAGTTTGAGTGTTAGTGTTTTTGTTTCCAAACTAATAGTTTATTATTATTTAAATATTTTCAAATCCACTTTTTATGATGGGATCAGCTCCGACCTCGAAAGAGTGACTACGGAAAATACTTACAGAAGACTAATGCAGTGTTAAAATACTGTTTTAATTATATGATGCGAATATATAATTTCTGTGTTAAAGGATTTTTCTGTACTGCATTTCTTTGTAAGACAGTTGTGATGTTTGTAAGTGTTTTCCATGGTGAGAAAAAGTTAGCACACGTGTCAACCAGTGTGAGTTTAAAGCTTATTGATTGTAAAATCAAATTAATTATCAGCTTGAGAACAAGCCTGAAGCATGCAAGAAAGGAAAGTATGGTATATAAATATACCATGCATTTCTATCTTCCTGTATTATTCTGAATTTACCATTTATTCTGCATGTGTGTAGGTTTCACATAACATGTGGTTGAGAACAACACTAAGATGATTTCATTCTGCTACTTTTGTTTCTTTGCTATTCTCAAATTGATAATACCTATTAAACCCATGAGAGATATTTGCTGAAATACAGCACATTGCACCAGGACATCCAACAGCAGTGTCCTTCAATGGTAGTTAAGCTGATATCTCAAGATTATGGCTTCCCCTATGTTTGAATGAGAATGAACAGTCATGTGGGTAGTACTAGTTATTCTTGGTAACTACAACGTTTCTTGCAAGTAAAGAGCATTGCATTTAGGCAGTCTGGTACATAGATTCAGCTTGATCAGTTGAAGATAGCATCATGTAAATTAATCAAGCACACACACTATTTTTGAGTGCAATATGATGTCAGTAAAGATTGTTCATTTCCTGTTTCACTTGGTGTCTATTCTATTTATTGCATTCATTCTCACAACTGAGTTACTCAAAAAGAGACCATTATTTTGTAATAAATATCTTGACTGAATTTCCTGTTATTAAGCAGACCTATCCCATTGCTCTGAGGTTAACTTGGTTTTACCTGAAAATATCACACTGTTAAAAAAGCATAAGACTGATAGCATATATTGTGATCTTAATACTGAAATTAATTTTGAAACATGTGAGGGGCAATAATATATATTAGTTTTTAATGTTGAACTCTAGAAACACATGAGAATGAGATTATATCTAGTAATCCCAAATATAATTCTTGAAACACAGCAAGTTGAGAACAGAGCTCTGGTATTCTTAATTCTGAACTCAAAACAAGTGAAGGTGGGGATGTATTTTATTTACTAGAAATGAATTTATAAAACGAATAATGTTGAAAGTATGCATGTAATCTGCTTAACTTTAAACTCTTGAAGCATTTGATAAGTGTTCTTGACACTGAACTGTTAAACATGTAAGAATGAGATTATATGTAGCTATTGATACTGAACTATACTTACACTTGTTACAACATAAAACTGTATGTAGCTTTACACAAGTGTATTTGGTAGCTAACTTTAAAATATTTTGTTTAAGAGTAAAACACAGTTTTGTAATTTGTCCAATCTCTTCTTGTATGAGCAGAAAGCAAAGAAAAATTTGATAACTAAGTTCTTTATTACTGAAATGATAAAGATACATTTGCATGAGAATAGTCTTTTCAAAAGTTTTTAATATATCTCATAACAGTCTTGTCGCTAAATAACATGTAATGAAAAGCTACTGCAGCAATAAAATGATTATTATAAAGTTGCATACAATCCATGAAAATTTTCGGTTTTACAAAGGTAAACTGCATAATATACAAACAAATATGAAACAATCCATTCTATACTAAATATCCAAATTCTGACAACATGTAACTTAGTTGAAATAAATTTCTAATACATGTGTCTGTCTAAAAAAACACACTAATGTCAAACAGGCCAACAGACAATAACTATACATAATTTCATGTAATTTTGAACATTTCGGATTCAAAGAATTTTTTATAACACATGCATAATTCTGAAAAAAAACAAACAAAAAAAAACATAATCAATGCTGGCTGATTCTGGAATGTTATTTAAAACAACAGTTTAATTAAATTGGTGCTTCTGTAATATGCTGGAGAATGTTTGTGGAGTGATTATCCCTGCACTGAGTTTTTTTTTTTTCATCAACACCTTCAATGACTCTATAAGAAAAATAAACATTTTAATTTATTATTATATATTTATAAAATTTTACTACTAGCTGATTTGAGAAGATTTTTTCATTAACTAGAATAATACTTTTTTAAGCATAACTGATTTTTTTAAATTTATTTTTACCACTACATATTCCAATCTAATAAAACAAAATATTTATGTGAAACATATTATCACATAGAGTAGGCCAAAAGCTGTCAAAATTGAAACCTCTTTTTATATACTTAATGTATGAGATATAGTGGTGTGAATCAATTTGTTGAACAGAATAAGGCAGTGAATTTTGATATGAAAAATATAAGTACCATAAAATATCTTAAAAACAGTTATAGTTAGAAGTAATATAACTACCTCAAATCAATCAATAATATTTTCTTCTTCAAATAATATCTGCAGTAGCTTGGGTTGCTGAAAAGAAATAATTAGTAGTTTAGTAATGTTTATATAAAGAAAGAAATTGAGTTAAAACTTATCTTACACTGTGTCTATATTTTAAAATTTAGATTTTAGTTTATAATATTATCATACACAGTAATTTTATCATATTATTAGACACAGTTAATTTTTAATGACAATAATTATCATTGGTAATAATTCAAGCAGTAACATTTTCGTTTGGCATGCGAGTATTTTGATCTATACCTTAAACACCCGGTTTCTTTAATATTGTTGAAGAGCAAAAAATTCAATTTTGGTTCTTTAGGTAACTTTCAAACAGTACTTACTACAAATACCCAACCTTGTAGTTTTCTGCTCATGTAGATCTTCCAAAATGATATGTGTGACTTCTTTATTTAGTGATTCATTCAAATTTTTATTTATTCTTCAAAAATCAACCAAATGACAAATATCCTTCTATTTTGAACTTGATAAAATCTGAAATAAAAAGAAAAGACATATCTGAACTTGTCATTAAAAAAAAATATAGCCCACACTGCAGTATGTTAGTGTGTCTTAAAAAGAAATGTTTTTTTTTGTAATTTGTTAATTAAACCAACAACATTTAACATGATGGTTTTAATTTTTACAAAATAAAAACACTTTCCTGCCATGCGGATACACTACCCAATAACTAGATCTATAGAATTCTCTTTTCCTAATGCATCAACAATTTAGTTTTCTTTTATATTATTTGTGATTTTTAACAGCTTAGTTATTTATTATAAATATTTGAATTATGAAACTATTCTAAATCATCTTATGAATGCCCACTCAATAACTTTAAAAGTAACTTACTTATGTACAGAAGATGGTCCACTTGACAGTTGAAACAAGAAAGCTAAGACTTAGGGCTTTTACTAGATTGATGAGTAGTACTTGTGTCAACAATGTTACTATTCAAACAAAAACCATGGAAATGTTTGTAAAAACAACATTTTAATATATACTAGTTTACAAAAATCAAAACAAATGTACAAACATTGCTTCAAAACTTGTGATTTTAAATAAAATCTAAACAATACTTTTAACATATTCTAAACATGAGACTCACAACAGTATAATCTTATGACACTTATTATTATCCTGTTACAGTGCTAAAACACAACTAATATTTATATATAATAATCCTATATATCATTAATATGTCAATAATCCTATATATCATTAATATATCAATAATCCTAAAAATCCAGAAGTATCTATTAACATGATGGAAAATTAGAGTTTAACAGACATTCAGAGAGATTTTAATTCTAATATAAAAAATACTTGGAGAAACATAATCCCTTAAAATGAGCTCATTTGGATCTTTGTTTTAGTATAAGATTGTTCAATCCAGTTAAAATTAGCAATATGGGTGTATCTCATAGCACTGATCATTTGACTATCTATTTAGACTTACAAATTAATCAAAAGATTAAAGGTAGGTTATATGACAGTGAGAATGTAAATCTAAAGGAATTCAAGGTAAAAGTATTAAAGTTGTGGATTGTTTCTCAAACAACCATGCTTTTCTCGTGGTCATGAGTTGTAGGGTGTTCAAAGGTAGGATCACTTCAAAATCTTTATTTGTTGGTAGAAAGAAAGCAAATTGCAAAAGTTGTTTATGAAGAAGCTTTGTTATAATTTTAAAATTCTGAGATAAAGTTTATGTTAAAGTTATTACTTTGAAATATATTATTGCTGTTGAATTTACATTGTTTTAATTAAGTTTGAACATTCCCCCATCATTTGAAGGGTATTTCAACTTGTATTAGATAAAATTAAAAATGATGTGATAAATCCCTTACTCATATCAAAATATAACACTGATAAAACTAAAAAAAGGAAAACTGTTTATTTGATCCGTGATGATGGAAAATTCCCAGTTTATGAATTAATCTATTTTCAAGTGTTCTCTTTGTACAGCATCAAATGGTGTATATTTGAGTCCCACTATAGAGATGTCATAGATGTTACATTTGGAGCTACTAAAGTGGTGTCTAGAGGGATGGTCTTTATCCAATCTTCATACATGACTAAGATGTTCCCGAACTCTATCACCTACACAGCAGGCTGTTTGTCCAATATATAACTTTACACAGGGCCCACAGAAATATTTTCAGGGGGTGGGGGCAAACAATGTATGTAGGGATCAGCTTTTACAGTGTAAGTCAACTGACTAAAATAATATGTGTTAAGTGTGTTTAAATGCAAACACAAATTTACAGTTTTAATAAACAAAGCACTAAAAATATTTAATTTAACTACGATGTTAAGTTTGCATCACGGATTTTTTTTGTGAGGTATAAGGAGGGAAAGGCCCCCTCGTGCCCCTTCCAGTGGGCGCCCATGTAACTATTCACATTGTTTACATACAATACAGTAAGTCAGGCATTCAGATATGCAAGAGAAAAATTGTCATATGTCGAAAGAGAATTCAAACCTGTGTATTTGAGTATTATTGTTTACGTATATACAAGTGAGATACACTGGGTACCTCGATCGCTCACACTGTTGAGTACCAAGTGGGTTCGAATTCTAGGTGTTGAATGAAAAAAGCTATGCAACAGAAGATTATGAAAATGTGTGTGGTGTCATTAGAATATTAAGGGAGGAGGATCATTAAAAATAATGTTGTTGGACAGGTCTTCTGTGAGTAACTTGTAGTTATTGTCAGGATTTTATATATGTGCTGGGCTGGGATTCTTCTACGGAAGTGTCTGTGACTTGTTGGCGATAAATTCGATCAATAAACGGACAGCACCCGATCCACTTGTTTTAAAATAATATATTCATAACAAATCAAACATATGTAAAAAGATTCTTTACATTATATGACATCATAGATTTATCTGAAACTCTATATAATTATATTTTCTTGTCAAAAGTCCACACAGGCTGATTCAATTACTTTAGAATCCAATTGACAAGACGTATTATTTTCTCTACTCTACAATAGTATTAGTGAATAATTCACTTAGGTTACCCTGTAGTTTACCACAGTTGTATCATGACCTTAAATAATTGTCTTCTTTTCGTCAAAGTCCACACAGGCGGGTTCAATTATTTTAGAACACCCTTTG